ACAGCCGACATGGCGGCTAACGGCGTTATCGAGCCTTCTGACAGCCCGTGGGCCGCGCCTATGGTCATGGTGCGGAAAAAGGATGGTGGGTGGTGGCCCTGTGTGGAGGTTAAAACCTCACGCAGGTTGTCCAGAGCCTTCATGAAGCCCCTCCTGTGCACCAGCAGGAATGCCGTTTTGGGGCGGGGCCTCTGGATAGTTTAGGATAGGGTCAGGCCAGCTCCGCTCATCTGAACCAGTGGAGCGCCACATTAGTGTCAGAAGTGGGATTGCGCACTCGTTGAACGGCAACATGGAGAGGAGTCTGGCTGAATTAGAGAAGGAAATAGAGGAGAACACCCTCCAGCTGGGATGGCTGGAGAGAGGGCTACGCCGGGAGCCAAGGACTGGCGTTCGCCCAGACGGCGCGAGCGTGCCACGGCTAGCCCGACAGTCAGCCAGCAGCCACATGTCGGACTTGTCTGCAGCCAGGGCAGTGCCGAACTCCGGGGGTGAGTCGCGCCTGCCACCGAAGTCAGAACTAAAGCTGCCCAAGTACGGGGGACTGACCCCGCTTGAACCGTACTTGGCCCAGCTAGACCTCGCGGCTCGCCATGGAGTGCTGCGACATTGGTCCTGTTGTTTCATATTTAGTCTGTATTTAATTATAGGCCATACAGCCAAATTAGCATATTGCAGGCAGGATGCATGGAGGGATTACTGAATAGGTCTGGGCAGAGGCTTAGGGCCCTTTGGGTTAAGGCGGCCCTACAAAAAACAACCACCAAGAGATACAAAATGTTCTCAAAAAGACAAAATGGCCACAAAGAGACAAAATGTTTACAAAGACACACGTAAGAAGTTCTGTTCTTGTGTGTCTGTTCATATGGTGGTGTCTGTTCTTATGGTGTTATGTTGGTTGTTCTCTATTACTGCTGTAACACAGAAATTTCCCCACTGTGGGATCAATAAAGTACCTACCTACCTAACTAAACAACATCATCTTTAAACTGATTCTCATTTAGTATTTGGTTTTGGTTCCATATAGGAGATTAGGGGACTCTTATCTGTTTGTGCCCAGGTGACCACTGTGCCATAATCTGTCCCTGATTGGATGTTATTTCCCACACCCACCTAGTATACTTCCACTCCTACTGATTTCTATAGTTGAATTTCATCTATTAATATTAAATCTAGCCTGGCACTTATCAGGGAATTGTTGATAATGAGAAACTTAAATTGTTAACAGGGGTGGACACTGACATTATAAATTCCATCCATCCATCCATCCATTTTCTTCCGCTTATCCGGGACCGGGTCGCGGGGGCAGCAGTCTAAGCAAAGATGCCCAGACTTCTCTCTCTCCAGACACTTCCTCCAGCTCCTCCGGGGGAATGCCGCGGCGTTCCCAGGCCAGCCGAGAGACATAGTCCCTCCAGCGTGTCCTGGGTCTTCCCCGGGGCCTCCTCCCGGTGGGACATGCCCGGAACACCTCCCT